CGACTCTGAGGATCCCCCGCGAGCGCGTTCCCAAAGTCCGGCGCCGCCGCCGCTCCCGCGGCCGGTCCCTCCGTCGACGGCGACGCCCTCGGCGCGGCGGCGGCGCGGAGCGCGGCGCCGAGCGCCTCCGCCGCGCGCGCCGCGTCCTCCGCGCTCAGCCCGGTGGAAGATGGAACGTCAACCGTCGCCGCCGCCGCGGCGGGACTCTCCCTCTCCGACGCGCGCCGCTGATGCTCCGTGAGCCACCCGTGCTCAGCCTCCTCGCGCTGCTGCGCGATCCACGCGAGCGCGACCGGGTCCATCGTCCCCCGTCCGCCGCCGCCGCCGGCGGCGGCGACGTCCGGAACCCCGCGCCTCGCGCCGCCGCCGCCGCCGCCGCCCTCGTCGCCGCTGAGCGTCTCCCAGCTCGCCTCGCTTCCGTCGAGGTCGTCCTCGTAGATGGACCCTCCGTCTTCGCCGTCGTCGACGAAATCGTCCGCGTCGTCGTCCGCGCTCGCGACGTAGATGACGTCCGGGGCGACGTCTGAGCGAACGTCGGGGTGGAGTTGAAAGGCGTCAGTTGGAGTTGAAAGGCGCCGAGGGCGGGGATTGAAAGCGAGGGGTGGGCGGAGAGAGGCGACGGCAAAAGTCCTTAAGAAACGGCGTTCACCACGCGAACGGGGTCGTATGGGAACCAGTGTATAGAACGCGCCTGAGACGTCGCCCGAGCCCCACGCGACGCGGACGCGTCCGTCGCGGATCGCGACGATCTCGCCGACCCACGTCAGCGACGCTGCGTCCGGGGGGGAGTCGAATCCCGACGACGATTCGCGCGCGGCGTCGAGCTCGGGGAGGGACCCGGGGACCGCGCGCGACGCGAGCTCGTTCAGAACTCTCGCGTCGTCGTCGTCGTCGTCGTCGTCGTCGTCGTCGTCGTCGTCGCCGGATGACGAACCGCTCGCGTCGTCGTCGTCGTCGTCAGCGTCCTCCCACTCGTCCTCTTCACGCGCCGGCGTCGCCAGCGGCGCCGCGGCGGCGGCCGCGTCCAGACGCAACACGACGTCGCCGAGGCGGAAGCAATACTCCCTGTGCTCTCGGAGCTCGTACACGGAGACTTCCTCTCGGCGTTCGGGCGTCTCCTCCGACGTGGCGTTCGCTGATTCGTCGTCGCCCGCCGCGGACGAATCAGGACCACGAGTAGTAGTACTCTTCTTCTGTCGAGGGACCCAACGCACGCGCGCGATGCGTTCGACGTGGTTCACCGTCTCCACGACGCCGATCGGCGCGTCGTCTTTTTTCCCTCGCCGCGCCCTCGCGGCGGCGACGGCGTTCCCGTGCTGGTTCCCAACGCCGACGCTGCCGCCGAGCGCGGCGGCGATGGCGTTGAGGTCCGTCGGCGGCGCGACGGTTGACGTTCCATCTTCCTCCTCCTCGTCGTCGTCCTCGTCGTCCTCCTCGCTCGCCTTGACGACGAACTGATTCGGCCAGAAATCGTGCTCGCCGCCGTGCGTGATGGGCACGAGATCCCTCGCGTTGATCCGCCGCGTGATCGCGCCGTCCTGCCAGTGCACGTCGACTTTCGTGTGCGTGCGCGTGATGACCGGCGACGGGCGCACCGGGCGGACGCGCTCGATGTCGGCGAGGGAGACCTCGGAGGCGGAGCCGCGGTGACGCGAGACTCGACCGCCGCCGCCGCGTTGACGACTCGACCCGCCGCCTCTCGCGCGTCGGGCGTTCCTTGCGCCGCCGGCGGCGGTCACGCCGCCGCCGCCGCCGCCGCCGCCGCCGCCGCTCGCGTCGTTTGACGTTCCATCTTCCGCCTCGATCGCCACGGTGCGCGCGTCCGCCTTCAGCTTTGCCAGCCCCCGGTTCACCGTCGCCGCCGGCCCGCTCGCCTCGCTCGTCACCGCCGCGACCCCCGCGTCCTCCCCGGACCTCTGATACATCCTCCGCACCCCCTCCGGGTCCGTCCCGTCCTCGTACACGCCGTCCTCGGGCGAGTGCGACGCGCTCTCGAGCTCGCGCGTTGGGGGCTTCTGAATCTCGCGCAGCTCCTCACGAAGCGGGATCACCGCGTCGAACAGATCGAGCACGTCGCGCAGTTGCTGTGCGTCGGCGTCCGCGTGGAACCGCCCAACCGTCAACGCGTACGAGGCCGTCGCCGCCGCCGCTTTCAACTCCTCCACCGTCAAGGTCGAAGACTGATGGAACTTCGCGTCGACTTCGCCGTGGAACTTCTCGGTGAACCTCGCCCGCACCGCGTCGAGATCCGCCTCGACGTCGCCCTTCGAGCGACCGCGCGCCGCCTCGCCGCGATCGCCCGCCCGCGCGACATCGCCGCCGCCGTCGTCGTCCGCGGCGAAGTACCCCTCCTCCGGCGCCGCGTCCGCGATCACGACGCGATCGCCGAGCTGCCAACACGTGTGCGCGTAAAACGTCAACGCCCTCAGCGCGCTCGCTTTAATCAACGCCGGCGGCGGCCGCGAGTCGTCCGCGGCGGCGAGCCAGTCCACCTCGACTTCGCCCGCGGTTACCTTAGGGTCGTTCCGTACGAGCGAATGTCGGGGTGGAGTTGAAAGGCGTCAGAAGCGGAGTTGAAAGGCGTCGAGGGCGGGGATCGAAAGCGAGGGACCCTGGGCGGAGAGATGCGCCGAGAAAAGTCCTTAAGGATCGGCGTTCACCACGCGAACGCGGTCGTATGGGAACCAGTATGAGATAGAACGCGCCTCGCTCACGACGCCCGCGGTTCTCCCGCCTTTGTATTTCCCGCGCGTCCACCGCGCCGATCGCAGCACCGACGCGCTCGCGTGGCACACGAGACCCGGGAAGTACGGGCACTGCTCCTCGTCCGGGAACAGCGAGCTGTTCTCGCTCGGGATGAGCCTGTCCGGGTCCGCGTCGGCGACGACGCACTCGCTGCCGTCCTCGAACCGCAGCGAGACGTCGTCTCTGATGATGTCGAGGCGGCGTCGAAAGGCGTCGTCAGAGGCGGCGTCGAAAGGCGTCGTCGTGGGGTCGAGCGTTGAACGCGAGGAGGGGTGGGCGGAGAGAAAAATACGCCGTCCTCGAGGAACGACGTACACCGCGCGAACGCAATCGTACGGGGACCAACGCGCTTATTCGGACGCGCCTGACTTCCTCGACGCGGCCGACCCAACGCCCGTGGACGACGTAGTGCCCCGGGCGATGATCTCGCACGTGCGTCATTCGCCTCGCCGCGACGTCGCGCACGCGCGCGCCGTCGACGAAGCGCAGGTCCACGTCCACGTCCACGTGAATCACGACGCCGGTCTGCCCGAGCGCGTCGGACGCGCGCGCGACGACGTCGCCGTGAAGGAACGCGCGGTCGAGCACCCGCAGCGATTCGTTCTTCTCGTGCACGACGCGCTCGTCGCCGCGAAGGTCGAGCCAGCACACCTTGGCGTGCGCGTCGGGGACGACGTCGCGCGTCCTCCGCGCCTCGCGCCGCGCCTCGCGGCTCTCCGCCGAGGCGTCCGCGTCCGAGGCGTCGTCGTCGTCCGACGCGTCGTCGTCGCTCCATTCGTCGTCGGATCCATCGCTCTCGTCGTCGTCGGACTCGCCCGCGACGCGCGAGACGAGTCCGATCGCGCCGAGGCCGTCGCCCGCGTCGTGCGCGGCGGCGTCGGACGCGTCGACGTAGGTGACGACGTCTTCGCTGTAGACCTGCGCGCGCGCGTCGGAGCCGAGGCCCGCGCTCGAGGTGTACCCCATCGAGCGCCGCGCGGGGGGGGAGGGACGTGCCGCGCGCAGCAGGGATCTGGCGCGGCGGGGGAGGAGGGAGGCGGACGCGGAAGAAAAGACGGCGCCGCGCGAGCTTGTGGTCGATGTCGTTGTCCGCCTCGAGCAGTGCCGTTCAGGAGCGTTCTTCACCCACCCCGCAGTTTCAACATTTGATCGCACCCCCTTTCAACTGACCGATGAACTTCATCCTCTCCGCTGATTTTGAACATCTTCCTCGGAGCTGTCACCGGCGCTACACACATCAGATCCACGCGGGGCGGGCGCGAAGGAGGACGCGCGCGCGGCGGGATGGCGGCGACGTACTCGCCGACGCCACACAGGATCGCGCTGTGCGCGCTCGCGCGGTACCTCGACGACGCGGACGACGACGACGACGACGACGACGACGACGCGCGCGATGGCGACGGCGAGAAAGACGCGAGGCGACGACGACGGACGCGCCTGGGACCGTCCGACCGACGCGCGCTCGCGCGCGCGCTCATGCGCGCGTGCGAGGACGCGTCCGACCTCCTCGAGCCGGACCTCCGGACGTTCAAGCGGTCCCTGGACGCGGAGTCGCGCGCGTCGGGCGCGCCGCCGCCGTCGTCGTCGTCGTCGCGCCCCGCGCCGCTGGGCCGTAAAAAGACGAAGCGAGCGATGCGGGCGGCGAAGCGAGCGAACCTCGCGGACTCCGACGGCGACGTCGACATGGACACCTCGGACGTGGACATCTCCGACGGCGTATCGGACGACGACGTATCGGACGACGACGACGACGACGCGGGGACGTCCGCGCCGGGCCGCGCCTCTTCCTCCTCGTCGCGGCGGCGCAACCTCAAGGACGTCCTGACGGAAGCGGTCGACGGCGTCCGCGACGTCGACGCGCTCGTCGCGCTCTTCCGCGACGTCGCGCCGCGCTCGTCGCACGAGGCGTCCATGCGCGGCTTATCCGCGGACGAGGCGGCGTACGACGAGACGTGGGGGATGAAGCGCGTCGACGCGGAGTCGGCGATCGGCGTCTTTCTCAGGCGCGTTCTATACAAAAGTTTTTCACCCATCGCCCGGTTTCAACATTTGATCGCGTCTCCTTTCAACTGACCGGTGAACTATTTTTGTATGGAACGACCCTCAGACGATGCGTCCTCGATTTCGAACGGCTGTCGTTCGAGGGGACGTGCGCGGCGTTCGCGAGGTGCGTTCTATCTCACACTGGTCCCCGTACGACCGCGTCCGCGTGGTGAACGCCGATCCTTAAGGACGTTTCTTCCCGGCGGCGCATCTCTCCGCTCATCTCTCGCATTCAATCCCGACGCACACACCTCGGCGCCTATCAACTCCATCTGACGCCTTTCGACTCCGCCAGGTTTCGAGCCTACGCCGACGCCGACGACGCCGCGCGACCGCGAGGCGTCGGCGCCGCGAGCGAGGCCGAGGAAGACGCCGCGCGAAGGGCGAAGGACGCGGACGACGCGCTGCACGGCCGGCTGCGCGTGGACGCGATGTGCGCGGCGGCGGCGGAGGACGTCGGCGCGGGCGCGACGCGCGCGTGGACGGGCGCCGCCGAGGACGACGCGGTGTACTACGTGTACTGCCCGCCCGTCGCGTCCGCGCGCGCGCCCCCGCGCGTGGCCGCGCACCTCGCCGCGCTGACGCGACGGTTCCACGCGAACGACGGGTGGGAGCCCCCCGAGGCGGTGGAAGCGCGGTTGAACGCGCTGACGGAGGCGACGCCGCGCGCGCCCCGCGCGGACGCCGCGAGGCATCTCCTCGCGGCGCGGCGGCGCGATTACCCGGCCGCGATCGACCACGCGCGGCGGCGGTTCGATTACCTCGACGGCGGCGGCGGCGGCGGGGGGGGCGACGGCGGCGGCGCGTCGTTGCCGGTGAACGCGGCGGCCGCCGCGGCGTTGGGTCGAGACGACGGCGGCGACGGCGACGGCGTCGACGGCGACGGCGGCGGCGGCGGCGGCGGCGGCGCGGGGGGCGGCGGCGGCGGCTCCGGCGGCAGGTGCGTTCTATCTCATACTGGTTCCCATACGACCGCGTTCGCGTGGTGAACGCCGATCCTTAAGGACTTTGCCCGGCGTCTCTCTCCGCCCACACCTCGCTTTCAATCCCCGCCCTCGACGCCTTTCAACTCCGTCTGACGCCTTTCAACTCCACCCCGACATTCAGGGCGAGGTTACAGGCGGCGTTGATGACGTTGGGGGAGACGCACGCGCGGTTCTCGCACGGCGCGGAGGCGTTGAAAGCGCTCAACGAAGCCGTGCGCGTGGCGCAGCAGAACGGCGACGAGACCGCGCTCGCGCACGCGCTCGCGGCGTTCTGCGCGCTCTGCGCGAGCGGCGGCGACGCGCTCGCGTCGTCGGAGGGGAGCCCCGCGGGCGAAGGGCCTTCGTCCGCGTCCGCGTCCGCGTTATGCGGCGACGCCGGCGGCGAGGACCTTCGCCTGCTTCTCCGCCGGTGCGCGCGACAGGCGCGCGAACTCCGCCTCCCGCATCTCATCGCCTTCGCGGACCTCGCGATGGCGCGGCACCGCGCGACGCGTCCGCCGCGCGCCGCCGCGCCCGCGACGGTCGTCGTCGCGGCGGCGGCGGCGGCGGAGGCGCGGGGGAAACCGGGCGTCGGCGCGGGCGACGGCGCGTCCGCGGCGGCGGCGCGCGCGCGGGTATCCGCGTCGCCGCCCGCGTTCGCGACCGCGGCGGCGCGGCGCGTGGAGGCGATCCGGCACGCGGTGGCGCTCGGCGCGGCGGCGCCGGCGACGACGGCGGCGGCGGCGGCGGCGGCGAAGGCGGCGAAGGAGGCGGCGGCGGCGGCGGTGCGTCTGCTCCCACCCATTACACTCCCGGTCGTTTCTGTTCTTCTCTGTTCTTTCGCGCGCTGTGAACCTCACGTTTGGAACCTCACGTGGAAACGCTATCCACCAATCGCATGCCCGCGTGACTTACTGACGCACGTCTTCCCTCCCTCGACCAATCACATCAGTCGCAGGCGGCGCCCGCGGCCGCCGCGGACCTCTACCCCGCCCCGAGGGGCCTCGACCTCGCGCCCGTCTCGCGCGCGGACCACGCGGAGGCGTCCATCGAGCAGCTCGGCGGGTGCGCGTCGGTGTTATGCGCGTCGATATGGGACGCGCACGGCGTGCCGGCGATGACGCGTCTGCACGCGCTGCGGCACCTCCGCTGCGACGCGTCGCGCGTCGTCGGCGTCGGCGCGAGCGGCGCGAGCGACGGCGCCGACGGCGGCGGCGCGCGACCGAACGCCGCCGCCTCCGCCACCCCCCACCGCCACCACGACCGCCCCGGGCCCCACCCGCCGTCCGCGGCGTCCGCGGAAGACACCGCGACCGCGCTCGCGATGCTCGCCGCGCACGCGAGCGCGTGCCACGGCCCGCTCGCGGCGGCGGCGACGCTGAAGCGCGCGAGGGCGCGGTTCGAGGCTTCGGGCCGGGCGCGTTCCAATCACCCCGCGCTCGCCGCCGCGACGGCGCGCGCCGCGCACGACGCCGCGCTCGCGCGCGGCGACGCCGCCGCCGCGCTCGCGGCCGCGTCGAAACTCGCCGCGCTCGCGCCGGCGTCGTCCGCGGTCGACGCGGAGGCGTCTGTCGAGGCGCATCGCGCGCGCGCGGCGGCGCTGCTGTGCGCTGGTCGCTTCGAGGAATGCCGCGCCGTCGCCGCCGCGCAGCTGGCGCGGTGCCGCGAAATCGGCGGGCTGACGCGCGCGTCCGCGCGCCTGTCGCTCCTGCTCGCGGAGTGCTGGCTCGCCGCGGGGTCGCCCGCGGTCGCGCTGCAGCACGCGCTGCGCGCGGAGCACCTCGCGGCGACGCTGCGGCTGGACGCGATTCGCGCCGCCGCGATCGTCTCGCTCGCCGAGATTTGGTTGGCCATGAGCGTCGGACACGTCGGACACGCCGCGGACCAATCAGGAGCCACCGCGTGTCCGTACGCCGCGCTCGCGAAGCGCGCGCTCGACGCGCACGCGCCCGCGCTGCTCTCGCGCGGCGGGCTCGCGCTGCGCGCGAGGGCGCGGCTCGCGGCCGCGCGCGCGACGCTCGCGACGACGACGCCGGAGGCGTTGAGAAGAGACCCGGCGGCGGCGGTGAGACCCGTTCGATCTTTCCGTTCTTTCCTTCGCGCGCTGTGGAACTCTCGTTTTGACACGTGTACATGATATCCACCAATCGCGTCAACCCCCGCGCGACTGACATGACGCGCGTCTTTCTTCCAACTTTGACCTATCATCGCAGCTCGCGCCGCTGGACGCCGCCGTCGCGTGTTGCGCCGCGGCGGGGGCGACGGCGAGCGAGGCGGAGGCGCACTACCTGCGCGCGGCGACGTACGACGCGCTCGGGGAGGCGTTCGCGAGGCAGAGGAACGAGGCGGCGAGGGAGTGGAAGCGGTGTCGAGGAAGCGTCGGCGGAGCGGGAGCGGGAGCGGGAGCGGGAGCGGGAGCGGGAGCGGGAGCGGGAGCTGTCGCCGCGTCGTGAAGGATGAGAAGCGACGAAGCGTTCGTCCGGTGATGACCCGTCTGTCATGTCGTCAAAAGAACAGACAGCACCTGACGGAAACGAAATCGAAATCGAAGACGCGTTCTTTTTTCGACGTCGGTCGTTCCAGTCATCATTCGCCTCCGCGCGCGCCGTCCCCGCGGCGCGATGCGCTCGCGCGTCCCCCTCCTCCTCCTCCTCGCCCTCGCCGCGTGCGTCGGATGCCTCCCGTCCCCGCGCGGCGTCAACGCGACGTCGCTCGGGATCGACCTCGGGTCCGAGACGGTCACCTCCGCGGTCGCCAAGGTGAGCTACGCGCGTCGTCTCGAGTCGATCGTCCCGGAGCGATCCGGCCGCCGCGCGTCCCCCGCGCTCGTCGCGTTCGCCGAGCGCGGCGCGCGGCGCGCGCTCGGCGCGGACGCGGAGACGCTCGAGGCGAGCTGCCCCGCGTGCGTGATCGCGGACCCGAGGGGATTGCTCGGCGTGCCGAGGAGCGCGGCCGCGGCATCGCAGGCGGCGCGCGGCGGATGCGGGCCTATGGCGACGTCGTCGTGGTGCGGATGCTTCAATCACACGCTGCCGCGATCGAAGCCGGCGACGCGAGGGACCGCGCGCGTCGCGCCGCCGGTATCGCTGCTCGTCTCGGACACGTCCTCGAGGGCGTTCGACCCGGAAGCGATCGTCGCGATGCTCTTCGAGGACGCCGCGCGGAGAGCCGCCGCGGGCGACGGCGGCGGTACAGGCGGCGAGGACTCCGTCGGATCGATCGACGGCGTCGCGATCGCGGTGCCGTCGTGGTTCACGCAGCCGCAGCGCAAAGGCGTGTTGGACGCCGCGCGCGTCGCGGGGCTGTCGCACGCGCGCGTCGTCAGCGAGGCGGCCGCCGTGGGCGTGCAGCTCGCGCGGAGGTACCCGCCGCCGGGGACCGCGGGGTGGGACGCGAAGGCGAAGGAGGAGAGAGAGAACGCCGGCGGCGACGACGACGGCGACGGCGGCGGCGGGAAAAAAAAGCGCTCGCCCGAGCGCGTCGTCGTCGTCGACGTCGGCGCGCGAAACGCGCACGCCTCGCTGATTAAGATCTCGTACCCGTACCTCGGGAAGGCCAAGGGCGGATACAGGACGCGAGTGGAAGTTCTCGACGCGGAGTGGGAGGACGACGGCGGCGTCGGCGGGCGCGCGTTGGACGGCGTCGTCGCGGCGTTGGCGCTGGCGAACGACGAGAACGGCGGAGACGCCGAGAAAACAAAAAAAATCAAAAAGTTGACGCCGAAACAACACGCGCGGTTGATGCGCGCGGCGAAGAAGGCGAAGGAAACCCTGAGCGCGAACCGCGACGCGGTCGTCTCCATCGTGGACTTTCACGACGCGGCGAAGAGCGGCGGCGGCGGCGGCGCTTCCCTCGACCTTCGCGCGGTGATCACGAGGGACGCGTTCGAAGCCGCGGCGGGCGATATAATCGAACGCGCGGCGGCGCCGCTCCGGCGCCTCCTGAACCGCGCGCGCGCCGACGACGCGAAGAAGAATAAGAATAAGAATAAGAACGCTGCTGCGGCGCGAGTCGTAGACGCGGTGGAGATCGTCGGCGGCGCCGCGAGGACGCCCGCGATTCAAGCCGCGCTGAACGCCGTCGCGACCGAATTCGGCGTCGGCGTCGTCCGCGGCGGCGGCGGCGACGCGCTCGGAAGGCACCTGAACATGGAGGAGGCGACCGCGATGGGCGCCGCCGCGGTCGCGCTGAACGCGTCGTACGCGCGGACGATCGCGGAGGGCGCGGGGGCGAAGAAGAACGCCGCGAAGAACGGGAAGGGAGGGCGGAAAGGAGGGAAAGCGTCGAAAGAGGACGCGTCGTCGTCGTCGTCGTCGTTGTTCGTGAAGGGCTCGAAGGTTGCCGTCGCCGTCGCGACGCAGGTGCGTTCTTTACACTGGTCCCCATACGACCGCGTTCGCGTGGTGAACGCCGTTCCTTAAGGACTTTCGCCGTCGCATCTCTCCGCCCACCACTCGCTTTCAATACCCGCCCTCGGCGCCTTTCAACGCCAACTGACGCCTTTCAACTCCACCCCGACGCAGGCGATCGCGACCACGCCGCTCCTCGTGGACCACTACGCGCACGCGATCAAACTGTCGTACACGACCGGCGGGGAGTCGACGACGGAGGCGTCGCCGTACGAGCTGTTCCCCGCGAACGCGAAGCTGCCGCAGAGGATGAGCGTGGAGGTGCCGGGCGTGGACGAGGACGTCGTCGTGTTCTTGACGGAAGCCGCGAAGCCGCCGCCGCCGTCGGAAAAAAAGAGCAGCGAGGAGGAAAAAAAAGACTCGGCCGAAAAACGTTCGTCGAAGAAAAATAACAAACCCACCGCGCTTCTCGCCGGCGGCGGGAGCCGGCTGCCCGCGAACGTCGGGTCCACGCGCTCGGGCGTGGACCCGGTGCCGTTCGCGGCGTACCGAATCGGCGGCGTCGACGCGGCGATTAAGCTTCTCGTGAAGGATTTAAGAGCGCAGCGGGAAAAACGCGCGAAACGACGCCGCGCCGCGAAAGCGTCCGGGAAGGGCACCTCGACGGACGCGGACCGCGCGCGCGAGGAAGCGGACGCGCGCCCGCTGCCAAAGTCCGTCGGCGTCGGCCTACACTTTGTCCTCGACCGCAGCGGCATCCTCGCGCTCGAGCGCGTCACCGTCGGCGGGGACCGCGCGGGACGATCGAAAACGACGCAACGCGCGATGGACGCGAAACTGACCATCGACGACGTCGCGTTTGATTTTCAATCGGGCAAGTACAACGACAGAGACGACGACGACGACGACGACGACGACGACGACGACGACGACGACGACGACGAGGGGTACGACGACGACGACGAGGCGTACGAAGGCGACATCACCGACAGGCGCATCCCGCGCAGCATGAAGTACCAGCCGCAGTTCATGTCCCCCGCGGCGACGAAGCGCAACAAGAAGGTGTTGAAGACGTTGCGAGAGCGTGAGATGCGGCGCGCGACCGCGGACGCCGCCGCGAGCGACCTCGAGGGCGACCTGCTCTCCGTGAAGGATGAGGTTGAGGGCGAGCGGAGGCGAAGGCGGAGGAGAAGTCGAACGGCGGCGGGCGGTGTACGTCGCGACGACGACGACGACGACGACGACGACGACGACGACGCGGATAGCGAAGTGACGAGAGAGCGGAAGAGGCTGGAGAAGCTCGTCGAGGAGTTGGAGGCGTTCGTCGGCGGCGGCGGCGGAGGAGGAGGAGGAGGAGGAGGGGGGCGCCGCGAGCGAAACGCGGGGGAACTGAACGCCGCGCGCGAGCAGTTGGGAAAGCGCGCGGCGACGTACCGAGCCGCGCTCGATCGCGCGATCGACGAGGAAGAGAAGGGCGAGGTGGACGACGACGCCGAGACGAAGGAGGGAAAGACGCCGCGCGATGAGCTGTGAGACGGCTCGCGCGGGAACGTTGTTCCGTTCTTTTCTAATAATAATTCTCTCGCTTGGAGCGCGATGCGTTTCTTTCGCGCTCCAATCTTTCTTCTTCTTCGTCATCGTCGTCGTCGTCGTCGTCGCGTCGCACGTCGCTCCCCCGGCGTCGCCCCCCCCCCTTCGGCCCGACCTTCCCTCCCTCACCGGTCGGTCGTCTCCAACAGCGCGGCGAAATACTTCCCCACCCGCCGTGGCATCGCCTCCGGGTGCGCCTCCGCCGACCTCGCGATTCTCGCCAGCCGCCGCGCGACGCTTCGATCCCGCCGCAACGTCGACGCCGCCGCCGCGGACGTCCCGGGCTCCGCGAAGAGACGCGCGAGGAACATCAGCGCGGATTTCAACCGCCGCGTGTCGTGCTTCGCCGCGGAAGTCGCGTCCGTTCGCATCCCGCGACCGTTCGCGTTCGCGTCCCCCGGGGAGGGGGATACGCCGAAGGCGGCCTCCGCCGCCGTCGCCGCGTGCGATAAGACGCGGTGGTGTCTCACCGCGTGCGCCCATCCGTCCCAGCCCGCGTGCGAGAGCGCGGCGAGGACGACGAGCGCGGCGTCGGACACCGTGGGCGCCGCCGGAGACTTCGACGACGACGTCGAGTCGACCGCCGCGGGCGGCGGCGGCGGCTCCTCCCCGAGGCAGGCCACGATGGCGCGCATCAGAGGGCAGCCCTCGTCCGACGCGCTCGCCGTCGTCGTCGCGGGCGCCGTTCCCGCGGACGCCGTCGCGGCGACCGTCCCGAGGCCGTCGCCGTCGCCCGGGCCGGTCCCCGCGCCGCCGGTCCCGGATCTCCCTCCCGCCGCCGCGGACCGATCGAGGACGTCCAGAAACGCGCGCGTGGACGCGAGCATCCGCGCGAGCGTCAGCGCGGAGACGCGCAGCGACGCGGGCGGTCCCATCGATATGTTTGTAACGTTCCCGTGAGAAGCGTTACAACTACCCCCGCCGCCAGAACCGCTCTCGCCGCCGCCGCGCGCGATCAACTTTTCCAGCGCGCCGCGCGACGCGACGGCGACGAAGACGCCGCGACCGTCGTCGCCCATCACCGGCGCGGCCGCGGCGACGCGCGTGAAAAACTCCACCGCCGCCGCCGCGGCGTTCCAGTCCGCGCGCGCGATGCTCGCGTCGAGGATGGTCAGCGCGTCGCGAAGCAACGCGCCGGGCGGCGGCGCCGCGCGACCGTTCGCTTCGTCCGCGTCCGTTCGCATCCCGTGACCGTTCGCATCCCCCGCCGCCGCCGCGGAAGCGGCGGCGGTGATGTCCGCCACGGACGCCTCCGGCGCGAGCGCGTACACGCGCGCGCTGACCGCGGCGGGGTGCGGCACGAGCGCGCCGACGCCGGACGCGCCGGGGACGTTCGCGATCGCCGCCGGCGGCGGCCGCGGCGCCCTCGCGCCTCTCGATCGCGACGATTTGAATTCCGACGAGTTCGAATTCGAATCGTCGCGGCACAGGCGCAGCACGAGCGCGGCGTCGCCGTCGTCGCGGCGGACGATCGCGGAGAGGACGTTCAGCACCGCGCGCGGGGCGTCGTGAGGAGCCGCGGCGAAAGAGGGGGGGCCCGCCGATCCCCCCGCCGTCGCCGCCGCCGCGTGCGCGCGCATCGCCCTCGCGGCGGCGGCCACGACCCCCGCGACGCCGCCGCGCTCGGACGCGAGCGCGCACAGCGAATCCCGCAGGCGACACGTCGCCGCGTGCGTCGTCTTCTCGCTCGCGGACGCGCCGGTTGACGTTCCATCTTCCGCGCGCTTTTCGACGCCGCGGACGTCCTCCGCCGCGACCGCGACGATCGCCGCGAACGCCGCGGCGCCGCCGCCGGCGGCGGACCGCGAAGGTATCGACGACGCGGCGCCGCACGCCGAGCCGCGCGCGAGATGCCGCGGCGGCGGCGGGAGAACCAACGCCACCGGCGGCGTCGGCGGCGGCGGCGGCAGCGCCGTCGCAGCCGCGCGGGTCGCCCCCGCGCCGCCGTCGTCGCCGCGATCGCGATCGCGATCGGATCGCGCGCCGCCTCGCGCGCGCTTCGACGGCCCGGCACCGCGATCGTCGTCCTCGCCGTCGTCGTCCTCGCCGCCGCGGTCGTTCCTCGTCCGTTTCGGGTTGCCGCCGCCGCCGCGCCCGCCCCCGCCGCCACCCCCTCCCGTCGCGGCGGACGCCTCCGCCTCCGCCGCCGCGGCTCTCCGTCGTTCGCGCCGCAAATCCGCCGCGAGTTGCATGCTCTCCGCCTCCGCTCTCTGCAGCCGGCTCCGCTGGTCGTCCTCGCGTCGTCGCGCTTCCTCCGCCTCTTCCTCCTTGAACGCGACCTGTGAGCGCAGCCGCGCGAGCTCGGCTTTCGTCTCCGCGAGCGCGGCGGCGTTGGATACCTCCGCGTGCGACGGACCTTGGTGAAACGACGCCGCCGCGTGATGGTGTCGACGCCCGTCGTTCCATCCTCCTCCTCCTCCTCCTCCTCCTCCTCCTCCTCCTCCTCCTCCTCCTCCTCCTCCTCCGCCGCCGCCGCCGCCGGATGCCGCTCCCACGCCCGCCGCGGTCGCCGCCGCCGCGATTTTCGACTCCGCGACCGTGAGCTTCCGCTTCATCTCGTCCGTGTCGCGCTCGGACATCTCCAACCGCGAGCGCAGCATCTTCAGGTGGGATTCTTTCTGCCCGATGAGATCGTCTTTCGCTTTGATGATGTCCTGGACGTCGCCGATGACGCCGCCGCCGCCGCCGCCGCCGCCGCCGATGTCGTACTGTCCCCCTCCGTCGCCGCCCATCCCGCTCCCGCCGCCGCCGAGGGGCGCGGGCCCGCCGCCCGCGCTCGGCGGGTGCAGAGGATACGACGCGTCGAACGTTCGGGCACCCCCCCCACCCGCGGTTCCGTTCGTCGTCGCCGCGGGCGGGGAGATCCCGACGGCACCGACCAGCGACGGGAGCGGCACGCCGCTCTCGTGCGCTTCCTCCGCTTGCTTGCACAGCGAGTCGATCGCGCTGTGGTGGACGGAAAGAAGAGCGATGACGTGGGCGGGGGGCGGGGATCAGGGGGGGAGGTGAGTCGAGATCTCGAAGGAAAGCGAAGCGGGTGCCCAAATGATCTCGTTCAAAACGCGCGCGGGCGGGGCGGACGACGACGGGCGGACGGCGCGCACCCGAACGTCGTCGCGTCCCCCCAGAAGTCGTCCTCGTCGTCCTCGACCTCGAACCCCATGGCGTCGGACGCGCGACGGACGGGCGGCCGGCGCGGTCCGCGCGTCCGTCGATGTGGTAACGAAGGGCGCTCCTCTGCGATGCGATCGCCGAACGCGAACGCGCCGAAACTTTGAACGCCTCGCGCCAGCTGTCGCTTCAGTAGTTGTCTCTCCGTTCTCCTCGGCAGTCGCGTCCGCGCCGCCCCCCCCCCCCTCCCAACGATGATGCGCGCGCTCGGACCCCTCCCCGGGTCGACGACGCCGCGCGCGACGCCTTCGACGCGCGAGCGCGCGGCGCGCCCGACGGCGACGCCGCCGACGACGCGTCCTCCTCGTCGTCGCGCGCATCGCTCGTCCGTCGTCGTCGCGTCGCCGCCTTCGGCAGCTCATCGAACGCGCGCGTCGTGGACGACGTGGTTCGCGACCGAGGACGACGACGAGGACGAGGCCGCGTCCGAGGAGCCGACGAAGACGTCGTGGTCCTCGCGCGACTCGGGGTTTCTGGACGATCCGATCGTCGCGCGCCCGCCCGCGTCGCCGTCGCCGCTGCTCGCGAACGCGGATCTCGCGCCCGTGGGCGCGCGGGACCGAACCTTCTCCGCCGCGGACGTCGCCGCGCTGTGGATCGGCCTCGTCGTCTGCGTCCCCGCGTACACCCTCGCGGGGTCGCTCCTGGACCTCGGCATGAGCGCGGTGGAGGCCATCGGATGCATCATGGTCGCGAACGCGCTCGTGTTGATCCCCTTGGTGTTGGTGCGTCGTCTCCCGCGTCCTCTCTGCTGCTCGCGGCGAGTAGTCTCTTCTACCTGTAGGAATATTCGCTCCTCCGCTCGTCGCCGCGCGGCGTCGCCGACCGACGCCGTTCCGTTCGATTCTCCCGCGCGCTCACCCCGCCCGCGACCCACCCTTTGACCCCCTCAGAACGGCCACGCCGGGACGAAGTACGGCGCGCCGTTCCCCGTCCTCGCGCGCGCGGCGTTCGGCGCGCGCGGCGCCTCAGGTGCGTTCTCCTCACACTGGTTCCCATACGACCGCGTTGGCGTGGTGAACGCCGATCCTTAAGGACTTTTCCCGGCGCATTCTCTCCGCCCACCCCTCGCTCAACAATCCCCGCCCTCGACGCCTTTCAACTCCGTTTCTGACGCCTTTCAACTCCACCCCGACGTTCGCTCGTATGGAACGACCCTCAGTCCCCGCGGTGTTACGCGCGCTCGTCGCGTGCGGCTGGTTCGGGATACAGACGCACGTGGGCGGGCAGGCGATCTACGCCATCGCGCGGAGCGCGCTGGGCGTCGTCGGTTCTGCGGCGGTTGACGTTCCATCTTCCGCCGCGTCATCGCCGATCATCGCGTGGCTCGGGACGTCGGCGCCGGAGCTCGCGTGTTATTTTTTGTTCTGGACCGCGCAAGTCGTCATCGTGTGCCGCGGGATCGAGAGCATTCGCACGCTGGAGCGGTTCGCCGCGCCGGTGTTGATCGCGCTGACCGCAGCGCTGTTTATGTGGGCGTACGGCGCCGCGGGCGGGCTCGGGGTGATGCTGTCCGCGCCGAGCGCGTTCGCGGCGGGCGGCGCGCGAGCCGGGCAGTTTTGGTCGGTATTTTTCCCCTCCGTCACCGCCGTCGTCGGGTTCTGGGCGACGCTGTCGCTCAACATAAGCGACTTCACGCGGTACGCGACGTCGCAAAAGGCGCAGTGCGCCGGTCAAGTCATCGGGCTGCCGGTGTTCATGGCGCTGTTTTCGTTCGCGTCGATCGCGATCACGTCGTGCGCGGCGGCGGCGTTCGGCCGCGTCATCTCCGATCCCATCGCGTTGCTCGCGGCGATGAACAACGGCCCGTTGACGACCGTCATCGCCATGGCTGGTCTGCTCGCCGCGACCCTGAGCACGAACATCGCCGCGAACGTCGTCGCGCCCGCGAACGCCTTCGTGAACTGCGCGCCGGAGAAGATTTCGTTCAAGATGGGCGGCGTCCTCACCGCGGTGCTCGGTACGATCGTCGCGCCGTGGCGATTCACCGCGGACGCCAGGCGCGTTCTATACACTGGTCCCCATACGACCGCGTTCGCGTGGTGAACGCCGATCCTTAAGGACTTTTCCCGGCGTGTCTCTCCGCCCAGCCCTCGCTTTCAATCCCCGACCGCGACGCCTTTCAACTCCGCTTCTGATGCCTTTGAACTCCACCCCGACGTTCAGCGGGTACATCTTCACGTGGTTAATCGGGTACTCCGCGCTGTTGGGCCCGGTCACCGGGATCATGATCGCGGACTACTACGTCGTTCGCGGGCGGACGCTGAGTCTGGACGGCCTGTATCAGCACGGCGCGCGGTCGCCGTATTGGTACGTCGAGGGGTTTAATCCGGCGGCGGCGTTCGCGTTCGCGTTGGGGGTGCTGCCGAACGTTCCGGGGTTTCTGCGAGCCGCCGGGGCGGTGACCTGGTGCGCGCCGTGGGCGGCGGCGGTGTACGACTACGCGTGGTTCGTCGGGTTCGGGATCGCGTTCGTCGTGTACGTGGCGATGATGCGGAGCACGCGGCGGGATCGGTTGAGAGAGGCGAAGCGGTTGCGAGGGACGTCGTGAGATGTAGATGCGCGCGCGCGTATGTATTCAAGTGTAGTCGTCGAGTCACGGCCTTCGGTCGTTCTGTTCATTCGTCGTCGGCGTCGCGCGTTTCGTTCACCCGGACGAGCAGGTGTTGTCGAAGTACTTCGTGTATTTCTTCGGGAGCGCGAGATCCAGGCCGCACTCCTCGTACGGGCATCTGAGGTTCGCGCCGTCGCGCGCGGCGTCGCGCGTGAACATGAGGAGGATGTCCCCGCCGCATCCGCCGTTTCGAGGACACTTGACGGATTTCTCCTTGTATTCGCCGCTCCGGAGCAGCGCTTCTCGGTCAGGTCCAAAGCCATGGCAGCGACATGCTGTCCCGCACAAACCACGACAGTCACGTTGCCACGCCATCACCCTCGGCGGCGGCGGCGGCGGGGTGTCGTTCTCCGGCGTCGGTAATCTACCCGACGCCGGGCCAGCGACGAATCTCTGCGTGGGTATGCTCCTGCGCTTCTCGTCGAGAGGGGTGAGGTCGACGTAAGGGATGAGATCCGGGGTGACTGGAGATCTACGCCGTGCGCTCGTCGGCGCCTCCGGCAAATCTTGCGATTCCGCCCACGCGAGAATGGCCTCGAGTTGTTTCCTCCCTTCTTCCCCGTAGTCGAGCGAGTTAGGCAGCCCGCTGAACGGCACGCCCTGCGGCCAACCCTCCGGCGGCGGATCGTCGGCGTGTATATAGTTCTTCCCGAGCTTGACGCGAACGCGCTGCATCACCGTTGTAACGCGCTTCTGCAGCTGGATTTTCGACGGTCTTTCTTCCGCGGCATCGCCCGCGTCGTCGCCGCCGCCGATGACGTCAGCGTCCGCTTCGGGGCGTTCCTCGTTCCGCGGAGGCACGCCTTCGGTCGCCGAATCGTCGCCGCCGGTCGCGCTCTCGGTGGGGGCGACTCGCTCGTTAGATGCGTCGCGCTCGGGGGGAGCCGCCACTCTCTCTCTCGCGCGCGTGTCGTGGAGTAAAGCCAAGCCGCTGAGGCCGTTCCGCTTGATCAGTGGTTCGCGTAAGCCCGCGGCTTTCGCGTAGGCTTCCGCGGCCTCGAGCTCGGTCTGGAACATGCCGAGGTATCTGTTGCTGTGTTGCGCCCTCCACGTCGTCCCACCTTGATTGTACACACCGACGTATTTCGAGCCGACATATTTCGAGCGCGGAGACTCGGGCTGTGTCGGCGCAGCCTCGGGCTCCGGGGACTTGCGTTTGAGTCCCCGAGACGTCTCGCCTTCCTTCTTGATGTGCGGGTCCCTCTTCACGGCGTCATCCCACGCCGCGTCTTCTTCCTCGTCGTCGTCGTCGTCGCCGGCGACGCGGTCGTTGCGCGGAGGAGAGGGCGGCGGAGCCAGAGGCCGAGGCCGAGGAGGAGGAGGAGGAGGAGGAGGAGGAGGAGCGGCCTTCGCGGGAGGCGGAGCGTCGAGGTCCTCCGCCTCGACGAGCGCACCTTCTCGAGGCGCCTCTCTCGCGCGCGGCGGCTCGAGCGTCGGCGGCGTCGGCGGCGCGGAAATCGCCGCCGGCGTCGGCGGCGCGGGAATCAAGACCGCTGGCGTCGGCGGCGCCGGCGTCGTCGTCGGCGGCGGCGGGGAGCCCTCGCGCACGAAGAGCCACGCTCGGCGCCCTGACGTATCGGGGACTCTCAGCGTCGTCCCGGGCGGGAGCTCGACGCGCGCGTCGCCGACGTAGAGCGAGATCGGCGCGGGCGCCTCGCGCGGAGGGAACAGCGCGCGTCCGATACGCGCGAGGACGTTCATGGCGTGGCGCGCGCGGGAGCGACAGCGTCGCGCGGCGCCGGCGGTCGTGGTCTCGCGTCGTCGTCGTCTCCGAGGAAACCAGCAAAAAAAATCGCGGACCAACTCTAAAAAAGTTCCCAGTGTTCTCTCCCACCGCAGTCACCGGCGCGCGATGGCGGCGAAGCTCGTCCTCCGCGTCGTCGACGTCGTCCTCGCGGTGCTCGCGCGTCTCCTCTTCCTCCTCTTCGCGTATTCGTGCGGGTGGAGCCTTCTCACGAAGGCTGAACTCGACGCCGCGCGATGGAGCGCGGACGACTCGAGGCCGCCAATCGAAGACGCGAGCGCGCTCTTCCTTCACGATCTCGACGATCTCGACGATCTCGACGACGACGACGACGCGAAGAAGAAGAGGAAGAGGGAGAAGGCCGACGCCGAGCTCGAGGACCGCGTCGCCGCGATGCTCCGCGCGCGCGGGTCATCGTCCACGCCGCACCTCGACGGCGTCACGCTCGACGACCACCTGTCGCACGTCGCGTCGATCCTGAAGCGATGGCGCGCGCCGCGCTCGATCGTCGTCGCGGGGCTCGCGCACACCGCGTTCGGGAGCGAGTTCCTCCCGGTGCGCGCGATGCCGTTCGCGTCGCGGCGCGTCGCGGAGGAGACGTGCGGGGCGTGGGCGGAGCGCATGATGTTCTTGTACGGCACGGCGTCGCAGAGCAAGCTGTACCGCGCGGTGATGCGCGAGAGGGAGGACGAGGAGGAGGAGGAGGACGACGACGCGAGGAAGAATTCGCCGCATCATCACCGCTTCGAGGTGACCAACGTGTACACGAACGAGACGATGCCGCTGACGCACGCGGAGGCGGGGTTCCTCCTCATGATGCACGCCGCGGACGTCGCGTCGACGATCTTCGCGTCGAAGAAGAACTTGCGGATCAAGACGCACCCGACCGCGCGGACGTATTACCGCGGCGCGTTCGCGATACACGCGCTGCGACGCGCGGCGCGACGGTTCAGGCGCGTCCACGTTCGATACACTGGTCCCCATACGACCGCGTCCGCGTTGTGAACGCCGTTCCTTAAGGACTTTTCACGGCGCATCTAAATTAAATTCAATTCGTTCCCCGCAGACTCGCCGCGGCGGAGGCGTCCGAGGAGGGCCCGTTCGTGGGCAGGAAGGAAAAGGTCGACGCGTACGCCGCGCTCGCGGCGGCGTGCGAGACGGACGCGGTGCGAGAGATCGTCGACGCGTCCATGCCGCGGCTGCAGGAGCCCACGCTGGAGAGGAGGACGAGGCGATTGCGCGGCGCGTGGACCGACGCGTGGTGCGCGTTTCGATGCGTCGGGGTGATCGACATGGAGACGTGGCTGCCGTGGGGGGACCCATTCGCGTAGGCAGTCGTCAGTGGAGGTGCCCAGCATAAACCTTTTAACCCTCCTACATGTATCCCTAACCCTAATAAACCCCAACCCTAGTACCCCTACCTCACGCGTAAAACCCGTCCAAACCCTCGCCCGCGAACACGCGCAACTCGACGAGCTCGCACGCGTCCTTCGCGTCCCTCGCGCCGAACAGCGACCCGGTGCCGTCGGGAGGCGACGCGTACGCGCTCCCGAGGCGGCTCTTCGCGGTCTTGATCACCTGCGTTCGCGTCGTGGCGCATCGGTCAGCGTCGGTCGGTCGTGCGAACGATGAACGGAGGCGTCGCGGTCGGGTCGGGTCGTCGAAAGCGAGACTGATTTGCGAGCGAGCTTTGAAAGGAAAGCGCCAGGTAGACTATTACCTTGCCGCCGCCGAAGAGCGCCTCCCCGCCGATCGCGGCGTAGGACGACCCCATCGACGGCGCTCGCCCCAGCGGTATCTTCAGCGCGTCCGCGCCGAATATGGGCCCCTCCGCGCCGAAGTCGAATATCGCCGCGCCCGGGCCGCCGACTTTCTCGAGTATGAACGGCGCCGCCGACGCGTCGCCGGGGGCCGCGCAATTCGGCCACTTGACGAGAAACGCGTTGAACGCGTCTCTGTAGTCCTCGCGGGAGGCCCACCCGAGCGGGTTGAACGCGCCGAAGTACGAGCCGGTCTTCGTCTTCGCGAGCAGGAACGCGGGACCCATGTTGTCCACCTTGGCGTGGAACGCTGCGCCGGAGGAGGAGAGAGGGAGGGACCTTAAGATGGCGAGCGAGCGAGTTAACAACGCGAAAAAATCTTCCGACGATAGCGATACGACGACGACGCGAGATCGATGCGACGGCGTCCGCGCCGCGCACCTCCGGCGTTCCACCCGTCCGTCTCCGCGTCGTACGCGAGCAGCAACTTCCGGCGCTCGAGCGTCGTCCCTCGCAGCGCGGTCGCCCGGAGCGCCGCGCGCTCTCTGTCCTCCTTCCCCGCGAACGCGCCGGCGGCAGACGACGATCCTCCGTCCCCGTCCCCGTCCCCGTCCCCGTCCCCGTCCCCGGGCGCGACGAGCCGCCGGAGAAACCCGAAGACGCCTCCGCCGTCGTCGTCGTCGCCGCCGCTCGCCGCGACGCGATGGAGACGACGCCGCGCGTCGCGGCGAGGACGGCGGCGGCGGTGGCGAGGAGGACGCGCCGCGGGAGCGGGCGCGAGCGACGCGACGGACATCGTGGGCGAGGCGCGAGCGCGAGTGAAGAAGATGATGATATGATGATGGCTGCGAAGATGACGTTTTCGTGTACTGTATCCGCGTACGCGCGACTATAGACTATCAGTACGCCGACGCGATGACGTCGAGGCTCGGGTACGCGGATACAGTACACGAAAACGTCATCTTCGCAGCCATCATCATAT